CATAAAAATGACTGCGTAATGATCTGCAGACGCTTTTCAATTCATCTAATTGTTATCACATCCTTACACTTTGGGTGTGCTATTATTACTTTGAATATATAATTGGAGATTCTGGAGCCAAAGAAACAAGGAAAGCGCCTCACTGTTCTATAAGAAGGGTTGGCAAAAACTCTGGGCACCTATGTTTTATCGTCTTTCAGAGCTTTAATAAATGTCTAAATTTGGATTATTGATTGTTGATCATTTTAACTATTGCATAGATTTTCTTAATTTGACATACTAAGCATGAGAGGTGAGACTTGTATGTTTTTCTAGGGCTCTGATCTGAAAAATAGAATGCATTTTTTTTTTGTAAGTTTGGGCAGAATTTCAGCCATGGACTAATATGTGATTGAATATAGATGTGATGGAAACTGCAAGTAAGAGTATAGTCTCGTAGGCTGAGGTGATGTTTCGTAGTAGTTCACCCAAGATAAATGGTATGCATGTCTCTGTGTTGTTATAGTTTCATCTAAATAGAGGCTGGAGAACCAATGTTGTATACATTTATTATATACATTTATTGTCGTCAACTTTCCTAACTGAGCATTTTCGGGGATTATGCAGGGAGCCAGTGGCTGTAATTGACAGAGAAACAAATAGATGTTATTTTTTCTAAAATATTCTTATCAATCAAGTTATTGGTTAGAATTGTTACTATTATTACAAGGTCTACCTTAAAAAAATAGATAAATATGATAAATAAAGCGAATTAGGGCTTTATATTTAAGACCAAAACAAAAGTCAAACAAGTTCTTATATCAAGAATCGGAGGTAGCAAAAAGGAACAGGAAATTAAGAAATACACATGTGGAGACTGTAGTTATTTGATTCTCCCTTGTTTTCTGTGTTTTTGTGGGTGTATATACTCAGGAAGCGTTGGTGGCTGTGATGATAATAGTTTAATATTGCCTCGTTATTTAATAAGAACTCGTTTGTTTTTTATTTTGATTTTAAATATAAAATTCTAATTTATTTTATTTCTCATATTTAATTTTTTAAAATAATTTTTGTAATAATAGTAGTTTTAGCTAATACACTTGATTAGCAAGGATATTTTAAGAAAGAAGACACCTATTTATTACAAATAATTTACATAACTAAATTTTTTAATCTACTAAAATTAGTTAACTAACTTTTATATTATAACCAGAGGTAGTATTTGTTTATCGGGGATAACGAGGATTACGGAGGCTGAGGAGAGAAATCAGGAGAGGACGACACTCATGTCCCGCAACATGATGCTAGAGTAAACAACATGATAACTGGGATACACTAAGTGAGTAATAATTCGGGCAACATTGATGATTATTAGTTTAGTTCATCAAGAGAAGGAGCCAAGTGGGCTGGGGCTACTGGTCCGAGCCCACTGAGCCCAGAACTTGTGTACTTAAAGCTCCTTGACTGTCCAAATCAGCTGGTTTACTAACTAGTTAGCCTTGCAGACCTTTGCTGACTGGAGAAGCAACGTAAATAGACGATACTATGGGATTTACTAATCGCTTTTGCGATTTTCAAGGTCCTAATTATATCAGTTTAAGGGGTGTTTGGATGGAAACCAAATTATAGTTTCAGAAGTATTTTTACAGTTTACGAAATAAATATGTGAAGGAGTTTATCTCATTTTACGGAAAAGTGTTTCTGAAAAGCACTTTTAGGGGTTGCCAAACACTCCCTTAATATTGAAGTTTAGCTGAAGTAGGGACTAACGTGTCATGTGTGTTTCTACAATCTGATACAGGATGTATTTGGAAAAAAATAAAAAAACACTTATAAACACGTTTTATATATAAGTTGATACAAAAAATTTTCTCATATATTTACTTTATATTCTATCAATCATAATCAAAAAATTATTTATAAACTATTTCAAACCACCCCACAATTGATACTAAATGTAATCCAATCCAATTCTACGTGCTAAAGCTAAACATGTTGAACTTGATTTGCAATTTTTATTCGTGACGCCAAGGTTTTAATTTTAAAAGGCTGCTCCAAGACATTAATTTGGGAACTATTGATTAAGTGGCGGGCACATTGATCAAAGCTTGGTCCCATTTCAGAAGCGAGCTGTGTTGCTATTTTTTTTTGAAGGGTTGCCGTGGTTCAGACTCTCCCCTGACTGTAAGGTAGAGTTCATGTGGACAGGGCTAAGAAGGATTAGGCCCTTACCTTATACCCAGTGTACCCAAAGGATGAGCGGACTGTAAAATGCTCATTGTTCGGTTATATCCAGAAAACCTTAAATCATTTTGGATTGGGCAAGAACAGGCTTTCCTTTCTAAAGATAACATCATATCTTCTGTCCAAAAAAAAAAAAAAAGAAAGAAAGATAACATCATATCTATGCCGCATGTTTAAAAAAAAAAAAATTCCAGTTATACTTGAAAAATACATTTAATTTAATCTATAATTAGCTTTAAAATGTTAAAATATATAATATCAAACTATACCAACATATTCAATTTAATAAATATAATCATCTCCTTTGAGGATGGGAATCAGCAAGCAAGAAGACATAATATTTTAATAGTGAAAGAATGAGGTATTATTTTTTGTTGATTTATGTTTAAGCCGCGTCAATCCTATTCTTTCTTTTAAATTTTGTCATGCTGACGTTTCAGCTCATAATTTCTTACGTTATACTCCTCCGGTCCTAATTATAAGACTCAATTGACTTATTTGAGGAGATTAAGGAAGTAAGTTAAGTTGGTTATTTATAATAAATAAGTGTTGTCATTCCTAAAATATCCTTGCTAATTAAGTATATTAGCTAAAACTATCATTATTAGAAGGATTATCTTGGAAAAAATGCATAAATATAAGAGACAAAATGGATTGGGGTCTTATAATTAGGACCAAATAAAAATTCAAATAGGGTCTTATAATAAGGACCGGAGGAGCATATCCTTTTTAGGCACAAATTTTGCAGCAATAACAGAATTAACTCAGCATAATAGTTTCTCTCGCCATACATATAAATCGGGTTATATATGTGTTATATTATAACACCAAAATATGAATATATAATTAATATGATTTTAATTTTTATTCTAATTATTTGGAAATTGAAAATGAAAAATGAAAAGTATAAGCGTCTCACAAAGAGAAAGGGTGAGATAAAAGGAAGGATAGAGGATTAAGTTTTTTTTAATATTTAAAAAAATTAGTCTAAAAACACACAGTGTTGTTTATTTATACTTTATTAAATTTTAGTTTATATTCTTTCATGTTGTAAAATCTTTTCAATAGATATTATTTTATTTTGGTCCTTCTTTTTATTATAATATATATTTGTTAGTAAATATTTATATATATTTTTGGGTAGGGCAACATGCCCTGTTTGCAGCCTGCTCCTACCAGTGAATCAGCCTCATCCAAATTTATCCATTTTTGTTTGGGTAGCATATTTTGGGTCGGGGTGGGTAATTTCTTTGCGGGTTTGGATGGGTACACCGGTTATGTAGGCTCTATGCACACTCCTACAATAAGATCACACTGACAAGACAAACTGTCTCTCTTTTTATTATTATTTTTCACCAAGCAGCTGGAGAAAAACGGTACAGGAAAATAAAAATTAAATTTTGATTCTTCATATCATGAAGAATCAATGCTTTCATGGGACCAAACTTTGGACCCAACTGGGTTAGTGTGTTTGTTTTGGTAGCAGTTGACGCCTTTTTATTTATTTATTTATTATGCTGTTTGCCTTCCTCTATCATGAGCTTAGTGGCAAGCCCAAGTCTGTCAAAGTGTAATCTTGAATCGTGTGTTTTTAGTTGTCTTGGATGGAACACGACTTCAAAATAGGTGCACGCTAAAATCAGATGAACAACGGTTGTATATTAGATGCCCAGTTATGCACTTGAAATGACCAAAGATACCGAATTGATAATGATTTTACTCGTTCACCTTTTTCTATACTGTGTTATTTAAGTGGTCTAGTCCGCTCGCTTATTGATGCCTTATCTATTTATGTTTTATTTAAATGTCAATTAGCCTGTGTGATAGTAAAATGTTAGCATTAAGTCGTTTCGTTTAAACGCAAGGGGATAAAATTGGATTGAAGTAATACATAATAAAGTGGGAAAAAAACCTCTGATATCAGGACTTTGAATAAATGTGTGGTGTGTCTTCTACGGTTTTCGATTTTTGAGCCATTTGTTTTCTCCTCGCTGTGTTGCTCCCCCATCCATTCTTGACAATTAGAAAGAAGATGTGCAACCCATGGAATCGCAATTAATTCAACACGTGAAAGAAGACTCGTGTTCAGACAATTTCTACCTGTATAATCTAAAACTGTGACAGGAAGTAACAGTGTGATAATTTTTTGTCTTTCAAGTTTGTATTTATTTTGATCTCGATCCTTCGAATTTTACACTATAGGTGTTGGTTCTTCAAGAGACAAAATGATCTAAGTTTTTATTGGAGTATAGGAATCAGTATTTTAGATGAAAAGAATTCTGAGAGACTAAAACCAAAATTAAGACAAACTTAAAGAATTAAAATTTGTATTAACCCAATAAAAATATACTCAAGGTTTTGTTATTTTAATCAGGTTTAAATTTGACAAGAATTATTGTCCGAAGCTGGAGTTTTCAAGGGAAAGCAAGAATAGTAGTTTAGCCTCTAGAGTTTCGTAGATGATGTTACTGGGGAATAATCCTGTATATTCCTGGCCCAAAAAAAAGAAAAAGAAAGAAAGACCCGGTTTCTTGGTCAGCCTTAAAGCCCCGCGAAGAAGAGGATCATCCAAGTTCAACGCCTTTGTTTTCTTAATGCCACCAGCAGTTCATCGTAATTTCGGTAGTATTTAAAAAAGGTGAGTTTCCACTGGTCACTTGGGTTCTTTCTTAAAGATGCAGAATTTTATTTAATCCGTTTAAAAATATTATTTATATTGAAAATTTCGGACCATAGGAAGAAATGGCCAAAAGGAAAAAGACAGGAGGGGGAAATTTTGTCCGGGACTATTACTGAATTTCTTCCTTCAACTGCACTCCACCAAAAATTGCTTTTTTCTCATCTTCCGTTAACTATTACTCTTCCAAATCCTTCAAACTTTAAACTTTCTTCTGATTGCTTCTCTTTCTCTTTCTCTTTCCCTCGACCCTGCAATTGAAATGGGAAATTTATGGAGCAGCAGAAGAAGAAACAATTACTATCCCCCTCCCCCTCCCCCTCCCCCTCATCTACCACCTCCTTACTACTATTCCGCAGAATCCCATCTTCCCCCTCCCCCACCGCCACCTCAGCCGCAAGGCTATTATGTGACCAATTCTTACGTCAATACGCCTTCTCTGCCTCCGCCGCCGCCGCCGTGTCATCCTCACGCCCATTCATTCAGTTACTCAAATGGGCACAGCTATTGCCCCAACTATGGCAATTCTATGACGGGTCGTTTTCACTACCAACCTTATTATGTAAATCAGGGTACTGGTGGCTGGCCTCCGATTCGTCCTCCTCTTGCGCCTGCCAATCCCCCACCGCCCTATCTCGATCATCAAACCGCTAGGAAGGTCAAAAATGAGGTCAACGTGCATAAAGATACTTTGCGGCTAGAGTTGGATGAGCACAATCCTGACCATCACTTGGTTTCGTTTGTTTTCGATGCCCTATATGATGGGAGGTAAGAATTCCCTCACTTTCTCCCCTTTCATTTTGGAAGAAGTAATTTCGCGTGGCTTCCAATTTAATACTGCTTCTTTTTGGCTTATAGATGAGAATAGGTGGGTATGAGGAAATTTGTATAAATTTTGCGTTTGGTGATGATTGAAATGTTGATGGCTTCTCCTTCCATTCAGACGGAAGAAGGCTGGGCGGAAATTTTCAACAAAATATACATAAACGTATGTTGGAACATACAAATACATTTTCTTTAAAACTTGGGGAGCGGTCTAAATTTATCAATAAACAACTGATTTTGAGGGATCCTCTTTCCTTACAGTAAGTAGTAACAGCTTTCTTCTTTTTTTTTTTTTTTTTGGGGGGGGGGGGGTGTTACAAGGTATATTATGTTTATGTATGTATATTTGTGCAAAGGAAAGGAGGTAAAGGAAACCAATGTGTAGAAAATTTGGAGTTACCTTACACAGTACACGGCATGTTGTGACCGTTCTAGTGTCCAAACTCTTGCTGGTGCAACTGCAACATTTAGCTTCACAGATGCTTCTGCTTTGCATATAGAATCGAGTCATCATCATTTCACAGTGATAAAAGAGGCACATGGAGGAAGGGCCTACAGCCGGGAAAGAACAAATTGAATAAACATTCATGCTACTGTAGGCTATTTCTCAGAGTATATTTCAATTATAGAAAACCGTAATTGCTGGATTGGTTTGTACTCCCCATTAGTTTATGCTTGATGTTCAGATTTCATGTTACTTTCTTCTTCTTCTTTAGAACATATATTATTATGGCCAAAGTGATGCAATATACATAAAATATATACTTGAAGGGAGTCTGGATGGGGTTCAGTCTCTGGAAGAGTCGTGTGATATAGAGGGCATCTTTTCTCTTGTGTGTGTGTGTGGGGTGAGAAAGCTTCGGTGGTTCTTTTGCTACAAATAGAGTGAAATTGGCATTCCAAATGCAAATTACAGTTATGATGCCATCATTCAGACTAGTTTTATATCTTGGGGGGCCGGGGGGGGGGGGGTGATTATAGACAAAAAATGGTTTGAACATGGGAGAGACAATTTTATATTTGACTTGAATGAGTTAAAGTTCACAGCAGCGGGACTCAGTTGTGCCAGGATGAATTAACATTGGGCATTTGCGTTTGTTCACTTTGCTTTCCGGGCTCAAGTCTACTTAGGTGGTTGATTATTTGTTAATATTAAGTTTTGAGAAATTCCTTTAGATTTTGTTGCGTTTGCCATGCATTATGTAACCCCTGCCAAGAAAATTCTTGTTTGCTGTTTCTTGCCTGGGTCTAGTTTCTTAGTCCAGTCTTGTGGAGCAATAGCCTCATTAAGTTACTCACATATAAAGAGGCCTCCCCTATCATAATCTGATTTTATGGGCACATGGCAAAGAGATGTAATTACTGTTCCTTTTCTCTGCAATGTATCATATCTGAGTTCTAGATATGTATTGCAATGATAGGCTCTTAGCTGGATAGCTTGTATAAGCTGCCTCAGTTGTAACAAAACGTTTATCATTCAACATTACTAAGTAATCTATGCATATTTAATTACTATTTCATCACCTGGGAGAATGATGTCACAGACTGACACAACACTTCATGCATTTTCATCATTTTTACCTTTCCAACTGCGATGCTCTCCTCTGACCACTTTTGATTAATATTGGAAGATACAGCTATAGAGGTTACATATTAAAAATCATATTTTTAGAGAGGTAGAAGCCAAAAAATTGTTTTCTTTTCAAGCTGATGTCCAAAGTTTGGGTGTCGCCAAGCAACTTGTATATACTAGCAATAAAGCCAATCCATTGGCTCACCGTTGTTTATGCTCCAAAATCTTTGTTTAGCATAGTCTGATTATGAATAATTTCAATTTTGAGCATATAAATCAAGTTTACATGGACTAACCTATCCCACTGAATTCAAATGTCACTGGGAAAGGAAAGCACATACCATCTTTTATTGGTATATATTTGCATTTAGTTTTATTTGTTTATTATGCAAATTCATTGCTATACAAATAATATTTGAAGCTTGAATTTTCTTACATCTGACATGATTATTCTTTGCATTTCCAATTGGCAGCATTTCTATAATCTACTTTGCCAAGGAAGTAGAACCTTGCAAGTTCATTCCACAGTTTCCTGAAATTGATCCAGTCAGAATCCCTTTTCAGAAAGGCGCTGGACAAAAGTTTTGTCAGCCTTCAGGAACTGGCATTGACTTGGGCTTCTTTGAGTTGGATGATCTCTCGAAACCCTCACAAGGTGAAGATGTCTTTCCTCTTGTGGTATGTGCTGTAACACATTCGGGAGCTCCAGCAGATGAAAGCTTTGGTGATTCGATGGCTGATGCATCACCTAATAAGCAGATAACTCAAGCTGTTATTGAGAAAAGCAATGGTAGTGGTTCTTTCCAGGTTAAGGTAATTAAGCAGATTTTGTGGATTGATGGAGCCCGTTATGAATTAAGAGAGATATATGGAATTGGAGGCTCAGCAGCAGCAGATTTCAATGACACTGATCCTGAGAAGGAGGAGTGTGTCATATGCATGACTGAACCAAAGGACACTGCTGTCTTACCTTGTCGACATATGGTAAGATTTTATACAAACAAAACCAAAATAATAGCCAGAGGCTTGGCAGCTGTGGATCTGAATGTGATGGTTTAGATTTCTCAATTAATGAACTCTAGGGATTTATTTGTTCATAAATTTGTGGACTTTGGTTCCCTTTAACCTTCTTTTTTTAAAAAAAAAAAAATCTCAATGTACGCTGTCATTTTTTTAAAACTTTTTAAATGCAGACTGCCATCCAGCCTGCAATGTCTTTTTTGGTGGTAAAGTGAAGTTTACAATGCGACCCATGGCTTCATAACTTTAGTAGTGCAGTTTCACTGTTTTGTATGTTTGTTATTCTTGAATAGTTTATTCACATATCAGAAGTTGGCAGAACTTAGATGCACGCAGTCCTGCACTCTTCTAGTACCTCTTGCTTCTACGTGCCAGGGGGTTCTAGCTTTTTGGCATTTGACTATCTTGTGTGTGTTAAATAATAATAGTAATATAAGATGATGGCTCTGACTTCTATTCATAATTCTGTGGATTATATCTATTATTATTTTTATCTGAAAGGGGGATTTCTGATTAACATTTATCAGCATTGTTAACTGGTTAATCAAAGTTCCCCATATTCATGATTGAATTGCCTGCTTTCCCTTGTATCAGTTTACTTGGGCTTTCTTTTCTTCGGTTCTTCCTCTCCTGCCACCTTTTAGTAAAATATGGTTCTTAATTTCTCTGCTTATTCAATATCTTGAAATTTTGTAAGCACCTTGTAGAATAATATAACGGAATATTATACGTCACACATTATCTCGAATATCCACTGTGAAGAAGATATCTAGTACCTTTGTTTCTTTCTCACAAGTAGGGGAAATGCCCTAATTGCTTGATTGAGATCCTTAAGAGATGCTGTCGTTTTATACCCTAATGCTGGGGGGATTTTTGTACTTACATTGAATTCATTTTCTTTTTCTCACATTAAATATGTTGTATTTCCCAGTGTATGTGCAGTGAGTGCGCCAAAGCATTGAGGCTCCAATCAAATAAATGCCCTATTTGCCGTCAGTCCATTGAGGAGCTTATAGAGATCAAGATAAATAATGGTAATCAATGAAGTTGTTCGTCTTGATGCTAAGTCGGATTGCATGGTATTACCACCAAACTGCTGCTGTCAGGTGATATTATGTCACTGGTTTCATATGCATTTTTTTCTTTTTTCTGTAAATTTCAGTTAATAATCTTTGTTCTTTAGTTCTTGTCTAATCTGTTAAAGGAACTATCGCCATGAGGTTTTTCCAGGCAGTGAACTATATTTCGGTTTTGTCTAGTACAGGTGGTATATGTTTTCTTAGTTTGGTCCAAGTGACATTTGACAGAAGATCACTTGTCTAGTGTTTGCAGTATATAAAGGGACAAAGCCACCTTGTTTGATCACTGAAACCTTCCTTTTGTATCTTGGGTGTACGGACCCCTTCCGGATTAACCTTGTTCAAAACCATAAAAATTTGAACATATAAATCTGCAATGGTGTTCAATATGTTCTTCCTTTATCCTATTTATACTTTTTTGGGTTAAAGATGTACTTAGCCACCTTGGCTGGTTCACTTGGTTTATTCGGACCTATGTGATTTATAAAGAGAGAGACAAGATTCTAAATGTTTTTTTCTTCTTCTTCTTCTTCTTTTTTTTGTGTTTTCCCCTTTCATTTTTCTTCCTTCTGCTCTTGTTAAGAAGCAAGTGGCTGGTGCTTATATTTCAGTACAAGGTGGCATTGCTGCTGTACAAATTTTGTGGATTTTTTCTCTTCCCTTTTGTTTTTGTTTTGCCCCAACTGAAGACATATGCATGTCATTCAAGAACACACCCCCCCCGGGGGGGCCCCAAAAATAAAAAAAATCAGAGGATTTCCTATAATGGCCCTCGCAGTTGCATTTGTTGCTGGGGTTAGTTACAAAACGTCTTCCTTTGAGATTGGCCAACCATACACATGATATCTTACTAGTATTGGATTACCCGAGCATCTAGAAATCTTGTTGCAAAACGAATAGTGTTACCATTTAGCAGTCTGAACTGTGAAGCAACTGCATATTTGCCGTGCGCGAGTTTGAGAGGAACTCCTATAATTCTTGTATATTTCTAATTCTTCCCCGCCTCTATCATACCATAGATTATACCCAAATTAGATTATGCTGATGTGATGCTTTACTATGGTGACCCGATTAACACGAGGTGGTGGTGTTTGGCAGGGAGTGGAAAAGGAGAAAAGGAAAGAGGTAAGAATAGGAATGAGTTCTGTGCTGTTATTAGGTAAACGACGCAGGCCTTAATTGTACTTTTTTAGCTCTGTAAAAGGTTGAATGAGGAAGTTTTTATGGGAAGAAACATTGTGTAGAAAAGATGCTGAATTATTGATCGGAAGTAATGCTTTATGGGGAAGAAAATTTAATAATGCAAGGACCATCATGGTAGGTCCAGTGATGGAATTGGGATAAGATCAAATTCCATTAGCTTCGGTCCTTGGCGTATTAAATTTTGAAGACTTTTATTTAGATTTTTCATGAGATATCTATATATCAAACCCCATCGGGAAAAAAGTTTTTTCCCCCCTAATGAACGGGAAAGCAAGACTTGAGTTGCGGAATTATCAGCAAGTGATTTCGTGAATTAAAAAAGATTGTGTTTGTGTCTCTACTTTGGAGAAAGATATTCATTTTCTTGGTTATAATAACGAATGATGACACTTTGAGAAGGATGAAAAAAGAAGTACTATATCTACCATCACACATGCTTTTGCGTACAATGCTTGGTTATGTTATTTGGAGGGGCAAAACACCCAGTTGGCATAGTACAAGCTTATTTCGAGGTGGAGCCGAAGCTGAGGCACATGACTCCTCATGCTGGTCACCGAGATTGTCCCCACAAAAGAACGAAAAAGGTTGAAGCCCAAAAAACTGGGCAAGGTAGCAATACGATCCCCTACTTCTCAGAACCATGCAAATTTCAAGGCACCGACTCATTTCTCTTTCGATTTCTTTTCGCGCGCACAGAAAAAGAAAATGGCAAGATCCAGATTTCCTCAAAGCGATTCAACATGCACATTCTGATGTTCATCTCTTGTGTGCAAAACCTGCAGACTTTGCTTCTTCAATTCGCTATACGGTTGTTCGAAAAGCAAGAAAGAAATAATCAGAAGAATACTCATCAGATAGCTAAATATTAAAAAAATAAAACTTTTTCACGGGATTGGAGTGTGGTCATGATCAAAACTCAATTATTAATTTGCCATAAGATGCTAAAATCCAGGGCTTTTAGAAAAGAAAAGAAGCAGAGGGCATGTGTAGATGCCGTTTCAGCTGTACTCTTGTAGGTGAGGCCTCACTGAATTGTTAGTTCTTTCCTTCCTCCTCCATGTAATCAATCGCTATCCAGAACACCATGTGAGCCCCTTTCAACTGATATGGCAATGCCATTCGAATTTTGATGCATCTTTCCCTCATTAGAATCACACTCCAATTTCTGTAAAAACCTCATCCCAACTTTGTCTGGCCTACTTCACCTCTCGAACTCATAACGTCACAGCTGTGCCTGTCACTATCACACCATCCTCTCTTTCTGGTTTGGTGTCTGTGGACTGAGTCAGTCCACGATCCTATCTAACAAGTATAAACCCAGTCCCATTAATCGACCATCTTGTACTCGTGTAATTAAGTCGGAAAAACCCAAAGACCATGTGTCTTTATTTACATGTTCAGCTCCCGTGTAACATAAAGACGCTATTTTTCAAGCCTCTGTAAGTCCTTGCCTCCCATGCATGAAGAATGTACATTTCATTTAAACCAAGGGGTAACTGTAACAGAAGCTCCAGATATCTCAAGTCTGTTTAGAACAAAGGGACAAACCAGAAATTAAGGATTGGAACGTACTTTCATCATCAAGGGAGAAGGAAAAAGAGGCTGGTTTTTGGTTTGCTTTTTTCTACCTAATTAATAACTTTCATTATTGTCATTACAGCTGCCCATATTTCCTTGAGATTGAATGCCCCAATAATTCGTTATTCCTTTCACACAGTTTCAATACCAACACGAAGTGAAAGACCCCATAATTTCAGGCAGCCCCACAGAATTCCAAAAGCGACGGTTTTTACTTCTTTTTATTTTTTCCCCCTCCAACTTTCAATGCCCAAAGAGTATAAAATAATAAATATTTCTCCTCGTGGAAGAACATGTTAGTGTCCTGCGTCTTAGGGTTAGGCCAACTTTTGGCTCAAATGGGCAAATCTCTTTTCAATTCAGTTCTGCTCATAACAAATTACCTACCAGACATGTGATCAAAACCCAGCACCAAACCAAATCCTTCACATCTAAATATCTCAAAGCACTTCCCTAGCCCTCCCAATAATACAGTTTTCTGTTAAAGCTGCAAATATCTGTGATCTGTCTTTCAGTTTCTAGTGATACTGCGAAACGTAAAACTAGTTTTGGGCTGAGTTTAAGATCAGGAAGGAATGACTGCACATTTCTATTATATCAGTTGAAGCGGATAATAAAATTCGAGAAAAACACTGAGACCTGGGGAGTGACCATATGAAAGATTTGGAGTCGTATGATGATGGGTTGGTTTGCGACGCACTAAAGTTGTGGTACCCACTACGAAGCTGAGGATGAAGTAGTAAATGGGGTTGGATTACAAATTTAGTGCTCACAGTCACAGCAGCTCCCTGTCTGATAAGGATGCTAATAACAACAAACGTTTGAGTATAAAAGTCAAACCGAGGCTCTAAAACCGATCTCACTCTAATTCGCTCGTAACTCGTGCCTGTTAAGTATCGTCATCAATATGTTGGAAAAAGGTTTCTTTTTTTGTTTTAAAATCAAACGGACAAATCATAATTAATCAATAAGATATAATTTCACCCGTATCCGCGGTTAACTTTGACAAGTTAAGTTTGTGAAAAAAAATTTCTCTTCAACTTGCGAGTTGCCAATTTTCTAAGCACCCCAAAATATAAAATCAGTTGAATAATACTTAGAATATTTTTTTTTCCTATTTGATCTTCTATACAATTAAATTTTATAAATAGTTTATTTATTATAATTAATAAAATATTAATTGACAATGTAAATATGATGAGAAGAGGAGATAACACTATTCCCAGAGAAGCCCATGGGCCTAATAAATGAGAATAATAATTGCATCCCTCGATTTGGAAATTTAGAATCTGACACTCCGTTCACCCACTCTCCTCTTCATGACATAACACCCCCCCCTCCCAAAAAAAAAAAAACTACCAAAAAAAAGAGTCTATTTTATTGTTTTAATTTCTCCATAAACTCCTAACTTTTTCACTGTAAATCCAAAGGTCTAATTGCCTCAAGCGTTCTCCTCCTATATATATATATATATAACTGAAGTATAAAACGAATATTCAAAAGGTTCACTCTTGAAAATAAATATCACAATAAATTACTTTTGTTGCTCACTCTCTTAAAAATAAATAAATATCAAGAGATTCTCACAATTTTTGCATCAAAGGTGGACGATAAATTTTATCTCTCTTGTATATCTTTCCACCCTCCGCCTATCATATATAAAATGTAGAATTTATAATATAAATTTATAGTCTATAAATATATTTACTTTTGTTTTATGATATTTCATATCTAAGAAAAATGTTAAAAGCCAGATGGATACCGCATATGCATTTTAACAGAGATAGGAAGATGTGAAATGAAAAGGTAAATTCCTTGACAAGCCAGATGGTGTTAAAATAGTCAGTCACGAACCGATTAGAAGATGGAAGCCTGCACACAATGCTTCACAATAAATAAAGGCACCAGAGACAGAAGAAACGCTTAAAACGCCATCCCCTCCCTCTCTCTGTCTCTCTCTTTCTGAAACAGATAATTCAGACGCAGCCAGAGAGGTTTAACTCTAATGTCCACCCACCATCCCTGAACGGAACCCCCTCTGTCTCTCATCTCTCTCTCTCTTCCCCCCCCCCCCCAAGCGAGGAAGGCCCATTCTCATCTGTCATTTCCTCTGTGTTTGGTTCGAAAACCGGTTTCAGATATTGCGAGAGCAAGAAGAAGCTCACTTAGCTTCTTGTGGGTTGTCCTCTCTGGGTTTTTCCTGTCCTTTTTTACTCAGATCTATTACTCCCTCTTCGCCTTTTCGCTCATTCCTTCAATTTTGGGGGCTTCAACCATGAGTAAAGAAGAGTTCTTGAAGATACAGGTGCTTCCTCTATCCCTTTCCCCGCATTTTTTGCCTTCTGCGCTTCTTTTTTTTCAGGGCCTCTGCTTTGTCATCTGAGTAATCAATGATTCTGAAGCTTTTCTGTTTCGTAATTTTAGTTTCTCTGCCCTGTTTTGTCGCACATTTCTGATAAAGTAACAAGCTTTATCATATTTTATGGTTTTATTTTCTCACAATGAATTTCTGTTTTTTCTTTTCCCCCCTTTTTTCTGTCTATTTTGTTTTGGATCTGGGGATTGCTTGTGCATGCAGAAATCTGTTCTTAAAGTGAATATACACTGCGATGGATGTAAGCACAAAGTGAAGAAAATCTTGCAGAAAATCGACGGTACCTACATTGGCATATACTTGTAGAAATTATGTCTGGAAAAAAATCTCTCGTTTTTCTAGACGAATCTTAAAAGCGAATATTGTGGTTGACAGGGGTGTTTACGACGGAGATAGATGCGGAACAGGGGAAGGTGACGGTGTCTGGGAATGTGGACCCCAACGTTCTCATCAAGAAGCTAGCGAAATCAGGGAAGCATGCAGAGCTCTGGGGTGCTCCCAAATCAAACAACAATAACAACCAGAACCAGAATCACCTCCCTAAGCAGTCAAAGAACATGCAAATCGACAATGGCAAGGGCGGTGGGAATAACAAGGGCCAGAAAGGTGGTAACAACCAGCCCAAGGGCGGTGGCGGGGGCGGGGGAGGTGGAGGTGGAGGCCAGCAAGGAGGACTGAATCCTCAACAGCTCCAACAGCTCCAACAGCTCCAGCAGATGCAGCAGCTTCGAAATCTTCAAGATCTGAAATTTCCTCAATTCAAACTACCTCCAGGCCTGAACCCAAACCAGAACCAAAAACATGTCAAGTTCGACTTGCCGGAGGATGACGACGATTACAGCGACGGCGAGCTGGATGATGAGTTCGATGACGATGATTTCGATGACGAGTTTGACGATGACGAACTGGAGGGACTCCCACTGCCCCTGAACAAGATGAAACCTGGTATGGGGAACGGCGCTCCCATGATGCTCAACGGCATGAATATGATGAATCCTCAGAAGGGTGGGAATGCCATGAATATGATGAATCTTCAGAACGGTGGGAATGCCGGACCAGGTAATGGGAAAAAAGGGGGTGGCGGAGGAGGGGGAGGGGCGGTCCCTATTCAAGTTCACGGTATGGGCGGCGGAAATGACGGTAAAAACGGGAACGGAGGAAAGAAGGGCGGGGGAGGAAACAATCAGAACCAAGGCGGAGGCAATAAGAACAATAATGGGAAAAATGGGAACAATGGTGGCGGTGGCGGTGGCGGTGGAGGAAACAATAACAAGAATGGTAACAACGGACGTAAGAAGGGTGGTGAAGGTGGTGGTAAGAATGGCATGATGGAAGGCGTTCAGGCGATGAACAATGGTTTCCCGCAAATGGGCGGTGTTGGTGGGGATGGTAACAGGGGCATGCCCATGGGTGCCGTGGGCAGGATGCCGATGGGTCAGACGGGCAGCGTCCCCGCCGTCCAAGGCCTCCCGGCAGCCTCTGTGAGCGGCGGCGCCGGCGGATACTTCCCCGGCGGTGGTCCGGATGTTATGGCCGGAAACCCTTACACCCAGCAGCAGCAGCAGCAGCAGCAACAGTATCTGGCGGCAATAATGAACCAGCAGAGGGCGATGGGGAACGAGAGATTCCAACCAATGATGTACGCGCGGCCCCCACCGGCGGTGAACTACATGTACCCTCCTCCTCCTCCTCCCCAGGGACCATACCCTTATCCCCCTCCATCTGATCCCTATTCCCACTATTTCAGCGACGAGAACACTTCGAGCTGCGGTGTGATGTAAGACAGTGACTGCGGAGGAAGGAGATGGAAGGGTGAAGACAGGAATATTATACAAGTTGAGATTCAGTTTTCTTAATCTTTGGTCTGTAATCTTTTTTTTTTAAATCTTTTATTAACTTATGGTAAGTTAAATGGATTAGGAGGTTGGAATTAGCATAAGGATGAGTAGTCTATAAAAAGATGAGATACAAGTTTTGGGGGGAATGAATGGTGATTAGTGGAGAGAGCGAGCGGTGGTGAGGTCAGGTGTCCCTCCTCTATGGTGATCAACAGCAGTAATAAATATTTTTAAGAAGCAACAAAGCCCACATCAAGTATTGCGACTCCGCCTCGAGATTCCATGACCCTCCACTCTCCAGCTCCACTCTACTTCTTAGTAAATCTGCAATATATTTCGTGTTTATTATTTCCTTATTAGTTCACATTTACATCGCACGACTTATTAAAATGTGTTCTCATCCCCAAATGTGTTCATGTGAACAAGTGATGTTATAATATTTTTTAAAAAAATTCTGGTTAATGTATATAATAAAATGAGGGAGGGCGTGGAGAGGCAAATGTGACGTGAGTTAGCATTCCAATAATGCTAATTTTCGTGAATATAAAAACTAGTTTTAAATTAATTATTTATAATAAATTTATGTTTTTTTTTAAACGTTCATACTAATTAAATGTATTAATTAGAATTATAGTTATTATAAAAACTGTTTCAAGAAAACAGATAAAATAAATTAAAATTTTATATTTAAAATTAAAATAAAAATCTAATATTTTATATTAAGAATGAATAGTGATAAATAATAGATTAAATGGGATGTCCTGTGTTTTAATGAGAGTGAACTCGTGAATGTCCCGGGGACGGGGTGCAGTGGACACCGCGGGTTGAGCTGGGCCCGCCTGCCCTTGCCCTTTTTTCGGCTCTTCCGTCTCTTCGCCCTCTATCTTTATGCAGTAGAAGGACTTGGTGAAGTCATAATTACGTAGGCGAATAATCAATTAATATATATTTTTTATTACGATAATTATGTTTTGGCTGGGCCTCGCTCTGCTTCAACCTGATGCTTACTGATTTATGTATTGTACTGATAATTTGGAGTGCGGCTTAATTATGGAGTGTTGCTGGTTGAGGGACAAGGGCATGATGGGCATAATAATGGTGACGTAGCTAGGAATGAAGGAAGGCGGTGTGAGGACGGATGGCTTGCATTGAGAGTTTTTTTCCCCTCTAAACACAAGTATCTTTTTATTAAAGATACTGTCAGATATTAAATATAAGTATCTTTTTAATAGGAATTTAAATGTGGATTTACCGCGTCAGAGAGTTAAAATGTTGTGTTGTGAGTGGGATATTATACCTTTAGCTGAACAGGACCCACCATACGAGTTTGGTGACATTCTAGTACCAACACTGGTTACTGCTAATTTGATTGATTTATGGCTGAAGTGAATTGCGGAGGGCGAATTTTAAGTCAGATAGTTTAGATCGAAAGGAGCGCGTGAGATAGATAAGCCAAGAAAGAAATCTAAATAAGTACTTACTAGGATCCCATACTCACATGGTCTTATTTATAAAACAAAAAGATAACTTTTTTATGATACTTATAAATTAGCACTTCATTAAATTTTTAACGATCACCATTGGTTGAAGTATGGCCGATGACCATTGGTCATGGCGATATAAAAGCCTTTTTGAAAATATTTTAAACCCGTGTTAGAATGTGTGTATTTATGAATCAAATGTTAAAAAAGAGGAGCGCATGGTAATTTGGTAAATAACTGGTTCCACATGTCCACGCTACATCCCGGCCTATAATTTTGTACATGACACCCAAATTTAAGTGCCATACATGAATGGACGAGCGCCCTCTCCTCAGTTGGTAACTACTGTCTCTTATTTTTAATATAAAAATTTGTTTAATTTTTATTTTGATTTTAAATATAAAATCTCAATTTATTTATCTCTCATATTTATTCATTTTTTTAAAAATAGTTTTTATAATAATAGTAGTTCTAACTAATATATTTAATTAGTAAAGATAATTTTAAAAAAAACAACGCTTATTTATTATAAAAAACTAACTTAATTAACTTTTTCAATCTACTCAAATTAATCAACTAGGGCCGAAGATAGTATTAAGGACAGGAGGTATTACAACCTCATCCTAAATTACAATCAACGCCCGTGTAGGAGCTGGTCATTTACTTAATTTCCTTTTCTATTATAAACCCTCTTGTAATAGGGACAAATAAAGACCTTGCGAGTTATTAAATCTCTCGTTACCCCACTTTGAAAACTTTTGATAACGCTTCATTTGTAAATAACAATATATTTTTATAAGAACTAGCAATGATATCGTGCAAGGAGAATTCACTTCAATGCAATTAATTACTCCATCCAGTTATATATATAAGTTTCACTTTTAGAAAAAGATCTAGTTCAAAATATATGTTTCAATTTTTAGTTTGTCTAAATATTTATTACTTTTTTTCCTATTTTTTTTAGTTGATTGTATTTAATACTCTCTTTCTCTCATTAATATTATCCCATATATTTTTTCCATCAAATTTTTCATAGAACAGTAAAATGAGAGGGGAGCTGCGGTGAAGAAGACATTGGCTCGGTTTGACATTAACTTTTATTTATTATACAGGTTGATACCTAATTTAGGATTTTGTAATTTTTATGGTCTTCTTTTTATCAGTTTCCTGGTAATGTTATAATAATAAAAAAATTAATTCCCGCCTTTTCAGGGTGTCAGTCCCATCACTGTACTCTCACCAAAAATCACACTCATGCTCATAATTCAAGGGCAAAGGCTTCAAAGATCCAGCTTCAGTAGTGGGGCTAATAGTATTAAATAAAGTATTAAAAGATTGAATAATAATAATAATAATTACACGATTGATAATACTCATAGGTGTGAATTATTTGTCGGGGTACACAGCGTAATTCCATTATTTGATTAGCGATTATGGAGGTCAGACATAGAGTGGCATTAGACCTACCCATGTCATTATAAAAGTACACCAATTTCTTTTGTCCAAAATCCACATGATGCTTGTACTTAATTAAGTGCGCCCATTTCGTCCCTCGTTGACCACGTCCCTCTAACCTATTTTCCCAACTTCATTCCATCCATTTAATCCTCCATTTCTATGACATTCTTCTGAATTTACCTGACAATATATAGTTTTCCTTTTGAAATAGACATGTATTCTTCATATAAAACCTATGTTATATGCAGGGGCATGTCTTGAATAATCGTTAAGCATGTTATATATGCAATGCGTTTTTATTTTGAAGCAAAACACGTGCGATTTGAGAAGTGTTGATAATACCGACTCCCTTCAATGAAATGTATATTGAATCATTCCGAGATTATAATGAAGTTTATGGACTTTGTAAATCACTTGCACCTAAATCCACTAATGAACTCGAAAGTGGTAAAGGAAGCCATGCAGAATAGCTTTTGGAATTAGCAGCAAGATACGTTGAACATCTATAAATCTCTTCCCACCCCGAATTCCGACGTCACTAAATTCTACAATGGCTCTGCAATTGATGTGTGTGCGTGTGTGTGTCTCTTTCGCTTTGTGTGTTTTGAAAGAAATTAATCTCTATTGGCGCTTGTTGTCGATAGCTGAACATACTTCTAGTATTAAATAAAAAAAAGGTCCTTATAACCAAAAAAAAAAACTGAGTATTTGTCCTTATAAAAATGATTTGGTGTTAAGAGTATTAAAAACTCAAGTACTTCTACACTAAAATATTTGATGCAAACACGGAAGAAGCTTAATTACCTCCTCGATACAAAGAAGTATGTATAAGACATTAGACTGAGGACAAAGACATCACCTTTGATTAAACCCCAAGAAACAAATGAATCGACCAAATCTAGAAAACGTGACGATCATAACTGTTGGGTTGATTTTTGTTGTTTTCCTCGTTCGAGTAGTAATCTGAAGTACTCGTTTAATTAACCCGATCACGGGACACAGGATTCGGATAGACAAGACGGCACTATAAAAATAATTAAGCCAAGATAATTAAAGTGAAGCGAGAATTGAACATAAATGATGATGAAGAGCAGGTTTGGAATCATTCACTTGTGCCTGTGGGATTCTCTGTTTGATTTAATAATACTTTCTAGTGATCGGTGGGAGGAAAAGAGTGAAGTTGTTGTTGACTTGTTTCTTGTTGGGTGGTGAGAATGAGGAAAACGCTCAAACTAGAGACGAAAAAGCAGATAAAGTGTCATTTGCGTCTTTTGATCTTTTGCGTTTTGGTTTCATGTGGGATGGTCAAACTCTTCAGCTCTACTCCACAATCTAATCCCCCTTTTATATCTTTCTGTGTTACCTTAATATATTACTTCCGGTCACCCTTAATCAAATTAAAGCCTTGGCCAATCACACCAGAGTTCATTAAAGAAAAAGTGCTCTCATGCTTTATCGCTGTTATTCATGTGTGCCCCCCAACATAATGTAATGGATCACTGTCTACCCATATTACGAAATATGAATTTAATGATGCTTTGAATTAGTTTGTGGATTTATAATTTTGCACTTAAATCTGCTGATTAAGTAGTTAGTTGGCTTGCCCGTCATGCTCACACTCCCATCGTTTTTATGGACTTATCTAGCATATTAATAACGGATTGGCTAAAATTGGTCTACTGTTAAAACACCCCCCCCTCCAAAAAAAAAACCTGATCCTAAGTCAAATAATCATGCATATCTTTGTGATTCTTTTTGTGTAGATCGGAGTGAACAGGGAAATGTAACCTATTTAAGAATTGTTTGGTACATCCTAAAAACATTTTTTAGAAGTGTTTTTTTTATAAATCAAAATAAATTATTTCACATATTTATTTCGTATATCTAAAAATATTTTTAAAACTAGAATTTTGTTTTCACTGGACATCTTCTTAATAGAGTCATCAATTATCATGGTCCAACTCCAAGTCACAAATTTCATGTTTATTGACCTTTTTCTCAAAACGATTTAGTACATGCATGCCATAGGAGCGCTAGTAAATACCGGGCTGAAAAAAGTACAGGGCAAAACAACAAATCAATCATGTCAGGAAAGGTCGAATTTTGAAACATAAACCCCCACTTGCGGTCCATCTAATAATGTGAAGTATTTTTTTTTATTTTTTAATACAACCAATGCCTCAAAATGGTTTTTGAAGTGCTGAATTTTTTTTTGGTTCATATAGCATCAAGGAAATTTTTTTTTAATATACTACACGTATCTAAAAAATATTTTGAGATATTAGATATACTGCAAAATATT